CGGGCGGGGCGGGACTAGCCGCCTCCTAATCTTTTGTCGCCCGCGTCCCAGCCCTTCCCGGAAGCCGCGTCTTCCTAGAACCGAGGCCTGTCCGGTGGGCTGGGGAGCGGAGCCGGGAAGCAGACATCTGGAGCCTAGGGCTGTGAAAGGAAACACCTTTGACAGATTTCCAAGAACTTTCCAGGAAAACTGGGCGGGGATCCTCGAATCGACCAATCGCAGTGCAGGAGGTGGAGCCTAGTGGCTAAGCAGACCAATTGGAGTGCGTGGACTGTGGGCTGACGTAACTGCGTGGGCGGGACCCAGAGGCCGGACTGAGTTGGGGCGAGGTTAAGGAGGACCCAATCAATGCTCCAGGTCCCACAACTCCCGCCCAGGTTGCCTTCCGGTCTTTGGATTCTTTGGAATGAGTGTGCTTATCTCACGGTGGACCTAGTTCGGACTAGTTCCAGCTAGTTCATTGCACAGGGGGGCGAGGTCGCCTGTTCTAGCTAACCGCTTCGAGGCGATCTGGCCAATGTACTAGCGCTCCCTGTCTGGCCTCGTTTGGACCCGCACGCTGTATGTGGGGTTCTCGGAGGTGGGTGGTGTGGAGTCAGGTCTGAAGAAGTAGGGAATCTTCAGCAACTAGTATTGACACCATTCTGCAGATGAGAAGATAGAGTCCTAGAGAACCAAATGCCTTGCTAGAACTTGATGCTAGCTTGAATCAACACTCTTCCTACCCTGACTCTCCACCTTTTTTTCCAATTCACTGAACTCACCAGGGGCTTAAAAAAATTTTTTTTTTTTAGACAGGATCCAGACTGATCTGCAACTCACTATGTAGACCAGGCTCAGGTTTCAGAGTGCTGGGATTACAGGCTTAAAAGCCACCATGCCCAGCTTACCAAGGACTATCTGGAAGGACTATAGGGTCTGTGAGCATGTCCTTCAAATCCTTGGTCCAAAAGAAGATGGGGAGATGAGATCTAGAGAGCCAGTAGATTCCATTCCTTCCCCAGAGCACTGCACCCCATTCTGAGTTCAGTTTCCAAAGCCTGCCTCACCTGGGCTATACACCCTGTACAGGCAGCACCCCCAACTCCAACTTACAAAGGGCAGAGGCAAGTCGCCCTCCCAAGGTCATGAAATGCACCCCCACACTGTCCAGTATGTGTGTCTTTGCCTCCCACTTCCCCCATGCCCCTCTGTGACCTCACTCCACCCCCCACCCAGGTTCCTCAGAAAGGGTGGTTCCACAAGATCTTGGGGCAAGACTGACATGCTTCTGGCACTATACAGAGGCCTGAATAATAGTGTTTGGGCTTTCCCTGGGGCAGACAAAGATCTGTGTGCCCTACCCAGGATGGAGAGCTGAAAATGAATCCCTGTGAAAAAGGAAGAGTAATTGGTTAAGAAAATAAATGACCCCAACGGATCCAATTCTCTGTATCTGCCCTGAAGGGAAGTTAGGCTTCAGTGTAGTTCTGTCAGCCCCTTCTGAGTAAGAAGCCAGTTTCTTGGAAACTGGGATGGGATGGCTAAAGCTGGGGTACCAGGAAAGCTTGGGATCCCTGTATGAGGTGCTAGCTCTCCAGTGGGAACTGTTTATTGCCACATTACTATGACAATAAGGGGATTTCATAGCTGCCATGCAAAAGAACTGTATTTAAAAATTTTAAATTTATTTAGTGTATGTATGTATGTGTGTATGTATATATGTATGTATGTATGTATGTATGTATGTATGTATGTGTATACACACACATACATGAATGATCAGGTGCCGTGATGCATACAGCAGCCAGAGGACAACTTGTGGGAGCTGGTTCTCGCCTTCTACCATGTGGGCCCCAGGACTCAAACTCAGGTTTTCAGCTTTGGTGGCAAGTACTTTTACCCACTGAGACATCTCACTGGCCCTCAGAGCTGTAACTTTGACCTTGGATCTTTATGTGGTCACTTTTCAAGATCTCTGCCCTAAGACTATGCCCCTTCTGGTTCACTGTGACTACTTAATACATAACACATATGCTAGACCCTCAGCAAATTCCAGCTTCATTTTTATAGTCACAACTGCCACATACAATCCTGTCTTTAATGGAGGAAACTGAGATTACAGTATGCCCTAGATCTCACAGTTAGCAAGTAGTGGGTTAGAATCAAGGCCCTACATTTCCCCTACTTCCTCTCTAGCTAGAGGTGATCTGTCAACTTCTACGCATCCTTCAGGATCCAAGATCAGTAAAATTTCTCTGTCCCCAGTCTGTGTCAGAGCACCTGGGTTGTCCTGTTCAAAGCATCCCCTACAGAGGTCAGTGATTAGGAAGTTCTATGTAAACCAAGTGTCCCAACGTTTTGGTTCTCCAACCATCTTTTGTGAATGACAGTGCAATACATCTCATCTGCATATTGGGAACAGTGGTGTGCTCTGGTTCTCCCCAAAGTGCCTGCATACCTGCTTCAAGCCTTGTGGGTTCCTCTGGCCACCTTACCTCTCTAGCCCTGACTATGTTTCAGGAACGAATCCCTCCCTGACTGCTGGGCCCACACTGCCACCCAGCGGTACTCCTTCTCATGACCTCACCAGCGAACTATACATAGATTTTCTCTGCCCTTCCTCATCCAGAACAATCACAAGATGGGGCACAAGAATGCACAGCAATGTTTTCCACATTGTCTGGCTGACTTGGTCTCTATCCTCTCACCATGGGCAGCCTTCCCTTCCCCAAAGAACAGTTGCAGTGGTGGTAGGGACTGCCCTCTACCAGGTACTTACTGGATGGTCTCTTTGGTCACTGTAAGCTATTTCAAAAGCCCCAGTCTCTCTCTCCTTTAGCACATAACTATTATGGAGGGCTGGGTGGCAAAGTCTGCCACCAAGAGCCCAACCTATCCAGGCCCAGCATTCTATGTTCTGAATCTTCACAACAGTGTGAAAGGGAACATGATTCTAGGTGATTACTGAAACCTCAGTATTGAGTGGAAGCTACATATTCTGACTTCCTTGGGTTAAATGAACAGTTGAAAAACCTTATTTATGATGGATATGGGGAATACATGTGCCTGTGTAAGCATGGGCATTCTTTACAAAAATTTAAAGGCACACATGCCACAATGTTCATGTAGAGGTTGTTAGGTTCCTGGCAGTCTCCTAAAATGATGGCATAGCTCCTAACATTCTAAAATGGTGGATCTGAACCCTACACTTCAGATGGATGTTCCAGCCTTTTGGGACCACCCCTCTTTACCAATGTCCTTGTCCAGCAGGAAGTAGCTAAAGAAAGACCACCATTGCCCCTTATCATCAACAAAAGGCTGGAATGTTAGGTTCCTGGCAGGCTCCTAAGGACATTCTAAAATGTGGCATAGCTCCCAACATTCTAAAATGTCTGGTTCAAACTTAGCCTCAGGCAAGTCCCCCAGCTTATTGGGAGACCAACCAATCCTGAGCTAAACTGACCAGCCTATGTCATAGAAAGTTACCCAAGGACCTAGCTGCCTATAAAAAATGTTTGACTTCCCCTATTGTTTACTGTTTCCTCTGCTTTCCAAGAGGAAGCCCAGCAGTATGTTTGCTCTCAAATAAACTGCTGTCCCCCATGGAGTTGTCTTGGTCGGTTGTCTTGGTTGCTACATACTTCCATACAGAGGTCAGAAGAAAACTTTTTGGAGTCAGTTCTCTCCTTGTACCTTTACGTGGGTTCTAGGGATCAAACTTAGGTTCCCAGGCTTGCACAGGAAACATGTTTTACCTGCATAGCCATCTCACTGGCCCAACATTCTTTATGGGACTACCACTTGATTTTTATATTTCACTGTTGTTTGAATACTTACAACAAGGAAGTTTGACTTATGTAATTATAAATTTTAACAAAATGCAGGATATTATGGGCACATCTGTCATTGTAACACTCGAGAGGTAGAGGCAGGAGGGTCAGAAGTCAAAAGTCATCCTTGTCTATCTATAGTGAGTTTGTGGCCATCCTGGGCTACACAAGACCCTGTCTGAATAACAAACAAAAATAAATAAAAAATAAAAAATAAATAGGCGAACTTAAAAACACAATCATAAACATTTTAGAGTACATATAACGTAACTCTTTTTAAAGAAAGAAGATATTTTCACACAACACACACTGAGATACCCAGCCTCAGCCTCTATCCTCAGTTGCCTAGCATTTGCTCCTTGTAGTATCATGCTCATAAAAATTGAGAGCTTGCTGAACCTTAGGTTCACCAGGCTCAAGCCAGCTGCTTCTAGAAGGCAGTGCCTTTCCCAGCTTCCTAGTAATTAAAGCTTCCAGACTGCATGGTATCCTTCAAGCTCTGAGATTCTGGATCTGATTCTCAAGTAGGACTATGGGACACTGATCCTAGATACAACTAAGCATAAATGTGTGTAGGTTTGTGGATGCACCTATGCATATATATCTGTGCAGATGTATGTCATGTACATATCTGTCTATGTATATGAATGTCCATTTTTGTCTCTTGTATATACTGTGAGTGCATGTGTAAGAATATGCTTGCACATGTGAAAGAGTGTAGGGAAACATGAAGTGCCATGAGAGGCAGTCACTCTTTGAGGGTAAGAGCCCAGCTTGGAGATTGTGCTTTGTGATTGGAATGTTTTTTTTTTTTCTTGCTAGCTGCTTAGTTCTAGGAGGTTGTTCAACCTCTCTGAGCTTGTCTTTCCTGTGTGTTTGTAGTATAGGTCCAAAGGGATGTCATGCCCTCTTCTCTCTGTCTTAGTGCGGTCACAGTGTCCAGTGTCTGAGCTGCAGGAAGTGTTTTACATGGTCATCTGGGGCTAGTGTCTGAGGAACCTCTGTCTTACTGAACATTGCTAGCTTGAAAGTTGCCTGGAGAAGACAGGTAGTGTCACCTCCACACTGAGAATATGCTTCACAAAGTGGCAATCAGAGACAGGGATACAGTTGTACAGATAGAAGGGCACCAAGTTCCTGCTCTCCAGGAACTACTTCTCTGACAAACTTGGACTTGCCGCCAAAGTATCTTTGTGTGTGCTGTGGCTGGAGGTTGTAGGGAAAGTTTCCAAGGCCAGTTCCTAGGCCTTGGGGCCGTATGGGGGTGTCCTAGTGCATGTAGTACTGATGATAGCCTGTAGGTGGCAGCAGAGACCTGTTCAGAGTGCCTGCCTGGTTTTGCACCTTTCCCAAAGTCTCAAGTCACCTCTCTCGGTTTCCTCAGCTTTTTTTGTGTGTGTGTTGGATGATCTGCCAGAGTAGCCCAGATTTGCCCCCACGAGATAGCCACAAACTCATTCCCTAAAGTTGTAGACAAGTTATTTTCACCGCGAGCGCCTCTGTTTCTTCAAAATAGGAACCTGATGGGAAAACTGGCTCAAAATAGATAAGGTCGGCTAAGAATGGAGGCCTAAACACAGAAAGGAAAATTACAAAGCTAATAGATACTCTGTCACTGGGGCAGGAGAAGGGATCTTAATTTCATTTTTTTGAGACATAGTCTCACGATCCTCCTGCCTAAGCCTCCCTAGTGCTGGAATTACAGGTGTGCATCAACACATCCAGAGACTTGAAACAGAACCAAGAGCCCAAATGGTAAGATGAAAAGTTGATGTATCGATCAAATGGAAATTCAAGTTTCCTGGTTCAAGAATGTTCTAGGCATATTCCACCTGAGGTTTGTGGGCCACATACATTTCAGGATAGCTATAGCCATGAATGCGGCTACACATTTACATGTGTAATGTAATGTCATTGTAATGTAATGTCAAAAGGTTGATCAGGAAATGCACAGGAGAGTTGCCCAGTGTCTGAGAGACGCCCAAAGCGAATCAAACAGCAACATGTCACTTCCCATAGTATGCTGGCAAAAATTAAGTTGCATTAGTTGGAAGTCTTAACAAGCCCTACTGGAAGAGGGCGTCCTGGCAGCATGCACCCGACTCGAGTCTTCCACAGAAACAAGATGTCTTGCGCTGTCACTTTTCTAGGTTGCGTGTAAAATCCAAGACAGCCACAGCAGTTGAAAAGGTCTTTGCTGTTGTCCCCAGGTGCCAGAAAGGTTGCCGCCCCTCCAGGAGACCACACCCCCATTTTTCCCGGCTCAAGGGCGGGACCTGCCAGGGGCTCGGCCTAGCCGGCTCTAGCCCTAGACTTCCTGGCCCTTTAAGGCTGACCTAGCCGGGCCCCAAGTCCGGATGACGCGACGGGCTGGGGGGTGGGAAGTGTCACGTGGGCCGCGGGCGGCGCAACTCTCGGCCCTAGGCGCCCCTTGGCTGCGGGCTCCCGGGCTCCCGGGCTCCCTATCCCTTGTCCCTTCTCCGCCGCGCCAAGTGTATTGCCGCCAGGTGCGCCCTCGCCAGGTACGCCTTCCCTGGGCACCCCCGTGGGGCCGGCTTTCGGGCCCTGGTAGCCACAAGGCGTCCGGCTCCTTCCCCATTCGACACGTGCCCGGGCTGGGACTTGCTTAAGCCAGCTGAGCGATCACCTCCGCTTTCCGTACTCGGTCCTTTAACACAGCTCCCTGCTTGTCTCGGGCCAGCAGCCCAGTCTAGTTCTGGGGATCCAAGGCTGTTGTGTGTCCGAAAAGGCTGGGCTGGGAGTGAGTGACTCTTTCCCTTTCCCTCAGGTGCCCCTGGACGCGCCAGGCTGGGGCCACCTCTGAACGCCCCGTGGGGGCCATGGATGGCGAGGCAACAGAGGAGAGGGGGAATCTTGTGCCCCCGCCAGGAGCCCTCGGTGGACCTGGCTTGGGCGGTGCTCTGGCCCTCGGTGGGCGACGAGAGCCCAAGAAGTACGCGGTGACCGATGACTACCAGTTGTCCAAGCAGGTGCTGGGCCTGGGTGTGAACGGCAAGGTACTGGAGTGCTTCCATCGGCGCACTGGGCAGAAGTGTGCCTTAAAGGTTAGTGACCCCACTCTGAGGCCTGGGGTGACCTGGCAGGCTTAACAGCAGATACCTGTGGGTGCATCTATAACAGGGGCATCTGGTAAGCTTCTATACTCAGCATCATGTTTTATTGTCGTATTCTTCCTGTAAGGTGAGGCTCATGGTCCACCCTGCTTCACATATGGGGAAACAGAGGCTTAGCCTAACTAAACTCGGGGTGTGTCCCAGAGAACAAGGGGTGGAGCTAGTGTGGGTAGAGCTGTTGTACCAGGAAGGAGGGAGAGAGTGGCTCCAAACTCTGATTCTGGCTTGACTTATGTGTTTCAGGCCCTAGTAGGGCTCTTACCTCTTGGCTGCTCCCCCAGGAGTAGCTTCTGCTATGGAGTTGGATCTAAGCTTCTCTCTGCCTGAGGCTGAGCCCCCCACTAAAGCTGCTACCGCTTCATTGACTTGCCTGCTTGGCCTGGAGTAAAAACCTCTCAGAATTGGTTAGTGAGGGAAAGGCTGATGCCCATCATACCTGAGCTCACTGGTTAGCTGTTGGGCTTCAGATGCGTTGTTGGCTCCTGTGGAAGGGGGCAAGCTCTGCTCCAAACTTGACCCACCCTGGGCAGAGGGATGGGCCAACCATTTAGCCACATCATACTGTAGGTTCCCTAGAGACCTGGCACATTGATGTAGGTGGAATGGGACTGTCTTGGAGTGTCTGGTTTCACTGCTCAATTCTGGCTTTAAGCACACAGTTCCAGCCCAAGAACCCCCTCCCACTCTTGTCTCCACCCCACTGCCTCAGAACTCCTGGAAATACTCAAGTAGAACTCATACCAGGGACACCTGGATGGGTAAAGTGCAGTAGAGAGTGACTTGTGGAAGTTAGTTCAGTAAGTGTTCTGTTTTATAAGTTGCCATCAGGAACCTGAGTACAGAGTCCTATATCTAAATATGGCTCTAATCTCTGCCTGTGTGTGCCAGCTCTGTGACCTTGGACAATATCTTGGGCTCTTGAAGTTAAGTTTCTGCCTTTGTTCAGGGGAGAAAGAACATGGGTTGATGTGAACTTGAAATGTAACTTGGTACAGGGCTGGTCCAGGCCTGAAGAGGCTATAGGGCTTACTTGGGGACACAGGATCTGCAACAGTTTGAGCCAGGATCTGGGCCTCATTCACTGTTTCTTTCTCAGGGGTGCCAGGGCTAATAGAGGAGGAGGTCATCCCCAGAGTGACCCTGGAAAGGGATCATGATCAGGGCTGAGCTGACAGGCTGGACCCTAGCCATAGTTTCTTTACCCACTAACTCAACTGTGGAATGGATCCTTTGAGGCCTCAGGCAGGGGATTCTCTGAGTCCTTTAGGAAGAAGATGGTTTTTCTAAGACCAGATGGATATAAGAAGATGAAAAATGAGCCTTCATCTTCTCTTTTGCCTGAGCTAGGGAGAGTGACAGAGAGGATTAGTAACTGATTAAAGACAGAAAACCTCCTTTCAATACCAAGGCTTTGGCCCCGAGAGGCAAGACTGACCTCTGACCAGCCACTCTGGAGTCCAGATGCTATGAGCAAGGCAGGGATGGGGTGAGAATGCCCAGTTTGTGGCCCAGGCAGTGCCAGCTTTAAGCAGGGATGAATCTATTCTTTCCCCACAGATGGTGTGTCTGACAAAAGACTTGAGTGGAACTTGTGAACTGCAACAACTTCCACAATATTTTTTCCTGGTTCTAGGGCTCAGTGCTGTCTCTGTCCTGTGCTTGGAGCTGTGGTAGTCCTGAAGTAGACTTACCTCTGTACTCCTTTAAATTATGGGTGATAATTACCTCTCAGCCTTTTGGCTAACATCAAGCAGACTTTGGGTGAGCATGGCTGGAACTACTAGATCTTGGGACCCCAGGATCTGGCCCTAAATTGACCCTCAAGGGATCCAGAGATTAGATGTGGCCCTCACCCCAGTTCTTTCTGTTCTTGCCTATTCTTCCCAAGAAGGGGCCAGCAGAACCTCTGGCACAGTGACTGTGTGCATACTGTGTTAGTGGTTGTGACCATGGAGAGAGAGGTGGTATCTTCTCACATCTTCTGCTCTCTGCCCAGGACAGCCAGAAATTGGAGACCTCAGTACATTGGCAGGCCTAGGCCTAAGGAGCTTGGCCAGCCCCTAAAGAGATCTCAGTCCTTGCACTGTCTTTGCCTAACCTTCTTCCTACTACCCTAGCTCAGTCTAGGTGAAGGTTATGGGTTCTGTGCCTTTCTGCCTCCTATACCTCAGATTACCAGGCTGGCCTGTACTTGTCTTATAGCCTGAATTTGTTCAGGCTGTCTCTTCTTTATACCTGTCTTTGGGCTTTGTTGCCCAAGATGTCAGAGAGTACCCAGTAGGAAGCCTAAGTGCAACAGGCACTCATAAAACAGGAAGACTGTGGTCACTGTCCCTGTAGCTATTGCTATTCAGTGGCTTTCTGGAGGAGCAGGCCTACCCCCTTTTCCCCTTTCTCTCAGTCCCTGACCATGTACTTGTTCTGGTGTGGCCTTGCTCACAGCAAGTCCTCTGCTCATCAGTGCAGCTCTCTATACCACCCCAAGCACTCATTACTAAATGGTTGGAACTGGAGGGTGAACTGCCTCAAGAAGAGGACAGTGGGCAGGCAGTCTTCCTGCTCCTCCTTCTGACATCTTGTGCTCCCTTCCAGGTCTAACTGATTAATTGGCACCTTCAGCTTCACCTCAAATCAGGAAAAACCTGCAGATTTGTCACCAGTCAGTCCTTTTACCCTTCAGAATCAGTCCCTCAAACCTTATCACATATGTGGAAATTGGGACCCAGAATGCATAATCAGAAGTTACATGGCTTGATTCAGAGTGTTGTAACAGAGGCCAGAATCCCCTCCCTTTCTGGCTTCCTGTTCCATTTGCTTGTAGTAATCAGCTTCCTGACAGGCAGATGTGACCAAGACACTTAATACCTTCAAGTAAAAGCAATAGAAGATCCTGAGGAGACATGGGGGGAATACACATGGGAGGAGAGTAGGGTCCCCTTTTCTGCCACTCCTGCTAGACTGTAGGCTTGGGGACCCTTCTCTGGTCACCAAGGCCTGTTAGAAGCCCTTCTGGCCTCCCAGTACCTCTTCTTCCCTTCTTTGTTAAAGAGAATGGAGTCCTGCAGGGTTTCCTAGATGTAGTGAGCAGCCTCCTCTCAGTCCCAGAATCAGGGGCTGCCTCACTCAGGACAGTTTTCTTCCTGCTGGCCAGTGTAAGCTGGGGTGCAGGAAGCTGTTCTGAGCCTGCCTTTGGAGCAATAGGCAATGGACTCTTCTTTGCTTGCTAAAGCCATAATTCCTTTGACTCAAATCTTTCTTGTAGTGCCTGGGCCCATGGCCTGACATACACAAGTGTGTCATAAATCCTTATTAAAATAGCCAGGTTTGCTAGGAATTGTGGCGCATGCCTTTAATCCCAGCACTTGGGAGGTAGAGGCAGGCAGATCTCTGTGAGTTCGAGGCCAGCCTGGTCTACATAGTGAGTTCCAGGACACCTGGGACTACAGGGAGGCCCTGCCTCATGCCCCCCACCATCACCAGTCCAACCCTCCCTACCAGCCTGTCCCAACCCCTATCCCTCAGGGCTGGAACCTTCCTTCTGCCCCGTCTCAAGACTTAAGTCCATCTTGACCTGGACCTGCCTGTCCACCATCTGGGCCTTGCAAGTCCCCAGGCCCCCGGAAAAAACCCCCCCCCCCCCCCCCCCCAAATTTCAGCCCTTCAATTTTGGAAGGAGATGAGCTTTTTCTGGTTTCTTCTATATCTCAGAGATTAGCCATAGAAAAAAAGCTGTTTTTCCAGTCCTAAGACCTGGGACTTCACAGAGGAATCCAACAGCTCTGTTGTCCCAACAGCCCATTGGGAAGGCCTATAAAGGAGGGAAGTGTCCTGTAAGGAAGGCTTTTTTTGCTTCCTAGAAGCCTTTGGACCTCACCTGGGAGCAGATGGGCTTTCTCTACCCAGAATACCAGAAGAAGGTAGAATGGGAGTAAGATGCAGAGAGTGAGAGGCAGTGGCCCTAGGACACCCACCGTCCAAGGGAGATGTGTCCTTCTGCTCCATGGGTGGGGATGGACTGTTGAGGGTGGTGTTGTAGAGTTGGATTTGAGGCTAGGTGGAGCTGCCAGCCAGGCCAGGCCTTTTCTCATTTGGCAGCTACCACCCTCTCACCTCCCATCTCCAGACTAGTCAGGTCAGCCTCTGCAGAGCCACTTGCTACTTAGATAACAAGCTGGAAGCATGTGTAGGGCTGGTGGCCCTACACAACAGAGTCCCTGGAAATGAAATGTTTCACTGCACCAGAGAGTCTCCCCAGGCTACTCCTTACCTAGAAGGAAAAAAATCTGAGGAGCTTGAGTGCTATTTCCCTGGTGGAACTTTCTGAACTGTCAGGGGTGAGTAGCTTGCTTAAGCAGGTTTCAGGAGAGCATCAAAACTACGAAACACAAAGATGGAATTTAGACAGGGGCTGAGTGTTTTGAGATTCTTTATACCAATGCTTGTCAAACTATTTCTACTTTGCTAGAGAATTCTTACATGACTCCAGATATATAAATATATAGAACAGGTGTACAAATCAAATGTTTACTGATAATAAATTATAAAGACATTTATTTTAAAGCAATTCCTTGTTATATGCACAATATTACCATTTATTAAAGACAAAATCAAATTTGGATGGATGTGTTTGTTAATTTGTTTACTTTATTATTTATTTTTATTTTGTGCATCAGGGTCTCTCTGTAGCCCAGCTGGCCTGTAGACCAAGCTGGCCTTGATCTTATAAAGATCCACCTACCTTTGTCTTCGAATGTTAGGATTAAAGGCATGTGCCACCATGCCTGGCTGTACTTGTCAATTTAAAAAAAAATTATTTATTATTTTTATTTTATGTGTATGAATGTATTGCCTGCATGTATGTGAGTGCACCTGTGTCGTGCAATGCCGCAGAGGTCAGAAGAGGGTTTTGGATTCCCCTGGAACTGGAGTTG